CCCTTCTTAATTCCCCCCCCCCCCCCCCAACCTCCCAGGGGCAGGGGCTCGGCCTGCCGCCCGCAAACAAGGGCGCCGCCGGGCTGGGCATGCCCGGCGCTCCCGGCCTCGGACACCTCTCCTCGGGCATGGCAGGGCCGGGCATCGGCCTCGGCATGGGTCCGCCGCCGGAGCTCGCGAGCGCGATGGGGGGCACCGGCTTCGACATGTCCGACTTCCCCTCGCTCGGCGGCCGCCCCGCCGCCGCCAACCCCGCGCTGCAGCAGTTCCGCGCCGCGCCGCCGCCCGCGCAGTCCGAGTTTCGTGCCGTCGAAGAGGACTTCCCCGCGCTGGGAGGCGCGCCTGCCAAGCGGCCCGCCGCGGTGGGGAGCGGCGGCGCCGACTTCCCCCCGCTCGGCGGCGGGATGGGGGACGAGGCCGCGCAGAGCCACGCGCTCCGCCGGTGTGAACGGCGTCTCTTCACACCCCGCCGGCCGTGAACAGGCCGCGCAGAGCCACGCGCTCGCGCGAGACTTTGGCGCGCCTCCGGGCGGAGAGCCGGCGAGCAGCGCGGGCAGCGCGACGGACCGGTTCGGGCTGAGGAGCATCCTGTCGGCCCCGGTCCGGATGACGAAATCCGAGGCGCGCGTCCTGTTTTTCTTTTTTAGGTTTGGGCTGATGGGCATCCTGTCGGCGATCCGGATGACGAAATCCGAGGCGCGCCTGCTGTTTTTCTTTTTAGGTTTGGGCTGATGGGCATCCTGTCGGTGATCCGGATGACGGAGCCAGACCTCAACACGCTCGCACTCGGCACCGACCTCACCTCTCTCGGCCTCAACCTCAACTCTGCCGACTCGCTCTACGCCACGTTCGCCTCGCCGTGGGCCGACGCGCGCGCGCAGCGCGCGCCCGAGGGCAAACCTGCAAGAAGAAGTACTGAGCGCCCGTCCGATTTCTTTTTTAGGCGCCCGCGCAGCGCGAGCCGGAGTTTACGCTGCCGCAGTGCTACTACATGCAGCCTCCGGCGCTGAAGACGGGCGGCCCCTGCCTCGAAAGTCCCGGCTCGAGAGGGCGCGAGATTGCGCGAGATTACGCGAGGGTGCGCTGGGGTACAGGCCACTTCTCGAAGTTTCAGCTGGAGACCCTCTTCTACATCTTCTACAACATGCCGCGAGACACGCTGCAGGAGAGCTCAGCCGAGCTCAGCCGAGCTCAGCCGAGATCAGCCGAGATCAGCCGAGATCAGCCGAGATCAGTCGAGCTCAGCCGAGCTCAGCCGAGATCAGCCGAGATCAGCCGAGCTCAGCCGAGATCAGCCGAGATGCGAGGTCTGTCCCCGGTCGTTGCCCCGGCACTTCGGCTGCAACCCCTCGCCGCCCCCCCGCCACCGCTGCAGGCGTACGCTGCGACCGAGCTGTACAACCGCGACTGGAGGCACCCCCCCCCAAGGGCGAATCAAGACATAGAGACACGCCGCCGGCCCGAAGGCAGGACGGCGCGGTCGCAATTCTGTGTTTAGGCACCGCTAGGACCCTCCACGAGTGGCGCAAGAAAAGAAATACCTTCGATTTCTTTTTTTAGGTACCACAAGGACCTCACGCTCTGGTTCACGCGCGCCAGCCGGCAGGAGGGGGGCGGCGAGGCCGGCCAGAAGGGGCAGTACCTCGGCTTTGACATCCACGAGTGGCGCAAGAACAAGAAATACCGACCGCGGCCGAGTTCTTCTTTTAGGCAGTACATCTACTTTGACATCCACGAGTGGCGCAAGAAGCTCTTCCACGGCGTGGGCGGCGGCGGCGCGGCGGGCGGCGAGGGCGCGGAGGGCGAGAGCGAGGAAGCGCCCCTGCCGAACCTCGGCGGGGACTGACGCTTGCCCTTGACCCATGGCTCCCGACGAGCGCCCTCCGTGCCGAGCGCCCAACGAAAAGCCCGCGCACACGGCAACTGTCTGTGCCGGCTCTGGTCACCGTCTGTACACAGAGTCCAGGCCCCCTCCACCGTATAAAGGGCTGTGCACATTTGAGTTAAAGCTTAAAGGCGGGGTATTCGGGAATTCGCGTGACAAAATACGGCGGCTTACGGGGCTCGGGGGCGGCCTGCTCTCCGGCCCGTGGCACCGGCCACCGCTGCCAGTCTTGGAGAACCCTGTCCACGCCTGAGGATTCTGCACTAGCGATTCTGCCACCCAAGACAGGATTCTGTATGCGGAGGCTCGAGAGGGATTCGTGTCCGTTTCTTCTGATTCTCACTCTCCTTTTCCGGTTCTGCCTACTCGATCTGATTCTGCCCGTCCCCTTTCCACGCACTCAGCCTCCGGGCAGGATTCCTCACCCAGCTTCCGTTTCTGCCTAATCGATCTGATTCTGTCCGTCCGATTCTCGCCTTATCAGATTCTGTCGCGCGGTTGCGGTTTCTGCCTCCGGATGCCGGAAAGCGAATTTTCCTTTGCCCGCCGATTTCTTGGCAACCCGGCCGACTCTCGTTCCTGATTCCTGTTTTTGCCCGTCGAGGGGCGGTAGCCCGGCCGGCCGGCCATCTGGGCATGCTCACGCAACCAATCACGCTCATGTGTACGCGCCGTATCCTCCGCGCCACCCACTTTGCCATCGAAGTGCGCTCCGCGCTCCGCACAGTACAGTCGCTTTTGAACGGCGGCTCATCACACGTGCGTCAGAGATCTCATGGGCGGTGGCATGGTGGAGCCAGAGCAGTGCGCGGCCGATCTTAATTCTGGGCAGGCGGTCTCCCATTCCCGCGGGCGCTTGGTGCCGGGGTTTGAACGGCATGCCGGCGTCAGATGCAGCTTGGCGCCGGCCTGCGGCGACCCCGCAAGCGGTCGTTGGTGCTGCTCAGCGATGCTCACAGCGGCACGTCTGCTCTTTTGCTGTGGGGAGTGCTGTCTGATTGGGTCTCCAAGCCCGCGGGCTCGCTGTGAATGCACCCGCCAGCTAGGCAGCTCCGCGGCGGTGTGGGTGTAGAACGGGTAGGCTGCTGTCTCGTGTCTCGGTGCTCGTACTAAGTCAATGGGAGGAGTGCTTCAATTTCTTCTTCTTATACGCCCAGCTCAAAAGCACACACGCATCACGACGCCTAGACAGGCGAGACGCGGCGACAGCCGCGGCGAGCTCGTTTTAGAAGCGAGCCGCTCGCGGCGAGCAGTTTTAGAAAAAGGGAAAAGGGGGAGGGTTAGTTTGAACCCGAGCCGAGCTTCGCTCGGCTCCCCCCCGCGCGGGAGCGCCCCCCCCCCCCCCCTCTCCTCGGGGGGGCGGGCAGAGCCCGCACCACACACTGCGCCTTTGCGGACGCCGGACCGAGGCCTAAGCGCTGAGTGCGCTGACGTGAGGCTGGAGCGCCAGAGAGACCCGCGCCTGAGCATGCTGCCGCGGGCGAAGTTTGAGTGAGCTGTGTGAAGCCCCGCGCACACGCAATATCGGCTCAGGAGTTCGGAGAGTCAGGCCAACATAGGATCCCGCCGAAATGCGTAACTCCGAGGAATCAGGAATCAGGAATCAGGAATCAGAATCCCGGTCAAAATGTTGGAAAATCAGGAATCAGGAATCAGGAATCAGGAATTAGAATCCCGGTCAAAATGTGGGCGATCCGACAAATCAGGAATCAGGAATCAGGAATCAAATGGAGCATCAAGAATAGGAAGAGAGACAGGAGAATCGGGAGGGGGGAGCAGAATCAGGAATTGGCTCTGGCTGCCCTAGAGAATCGGAAAGGAAGCGGAGGAAACGAGAATGGAGAATCAGGAAGCTGAAAGCGGGGCCAAGATGGGAGAGTCTGGGGAGAGAATCAGAATATCTCGGCCGCCTGCGCCTCGGTGAGCTCGCCCGAGCGGCTCACCTTGGGGAGCATGCAGCTCCGGCGCCGCGGCGGAGACGGCGGCGAGGAGGTCACGAAGCAGCTGGCGTCGGTCGCCGCGGCGTCGGAGCAGGCGGACATCGCTTCCAGGGAGGGGGGCGCCCTTCTCTGCACGCCCCACCCCCCCCTAGCATGTGGTGAAGCCTCTGGGGGGGTCGGGATCCCCCCCCCAGCATGTGGTGAAGCCTCTGGGGGGGGTCGGACCCCCCCCCTAGCATGTGGTGGGCACCCCCCAGCAGTTCGTGGGCTAGGAATAGCCGCCAGAGAGGTGTCGTCTATGAGGCGGCGGCGAGCGCTGGCGGCGGCGGCGCGGCGGCGCGGCGGCGGTGCACTGACGGTCGGCCGTCAGAAAACACGCCTCCGTGGCTCGGGTTACACCAATCCTCGCTACCCAACGCGGCCAAAGGATATCCACCTCGAGAACCTCGAGATTACCCTTCGGTGCCTCGAATCGCGCCCAACACATCGGCGCCAGCTTCCTGATATGGCCTCCCACCGCATCGGCGCGCGCGTCGCGGGCCTCTCGCCAGCGCAGCTGTGCGCCATCATCGAGGCGCAGGCGGGCGCGAGCGACGCCGCGCTGCGCGTGGCGGAGGAGCACGCCGCTCGGCTCGTGGAGCAGCCCGAGTGGGTGCTCTCCGAGGTCCTCCTCTCGCTGGACCTCGCCCCGCACATCCTCGCCCAGCTGCCGACCACGGAGCACGCCGCCAAGGGGACGTGCCGCTCGTGGCGCCGCGGCTGGAAGGAGACGCTGAAGAAGCGCGAGAGGCCGCGCATGCTCGTGATCGGCGGCGAAGACCGCGACGACGACCTTGTCAGCTCGATGGAGCGGTACGACCCGTCAACGAACGCGTGGGAGGAGGAGGCGGTGTCGCCGATGCCAACGGCACGTGAAAATGCCCGCATGGCGGTGACCGACGACAAGCTCTACGTGGCGGGCGGCGTGGACATGGAGGGCGCAACTTCCAACCTGGTGGAGCGGTACGACTTTGCTACGAATTCAAGTGAGGCTGTGGCGCCGCTGGCAGAGGCGCGGTATGATCTCGCTGTCGGAGTGCTCGACGGCAAGCTGTACGCTGTGGGCGGCTTCTGTGACGACGGCTTCCTCAGCTCCGTCGAGCGGTACGATCCCGCGACGAACGCGTGGGAGGCGGTGGCGCCGATGGCGGCGGCGCGGAGCGACCATGGTGTGGCAGTGCTCGACGGCAAGCTGTACGCTGTGGGCGGCTTGAACAACGACGACGGCTACCTCAGCTCGGTGGAGCGGTACGACCCGGCGTTGAACGCGTGGGAGGCGGTGGCGCCGATGGCGGTCGAGCGGTTTGCCCCCGCCGTGGCGGCGCTCGATGGCAAGCTGTACGCGGTGGGAGGCTCCAACGACGACGACGGCTACCTCAGCTCGGTGGAGCGGTACGACCCTGCGTTGGATGCGTGGGAGGCGGCGGCGCCGATGGCAGAGGCGCGGGAGGCTCACGCCGTGGCGGCGCTCGACGGCAAGCTCTATGTCGCAGGCGGAAAGGGTGCTGGTTTCAATCGCCTCAGCTCGGTCGCGCGGTACGACCCGGCAGTGGGCGCGTGGGGGGCGGTGGCTCCGATGGCGGCGGTGCGGAATAAGGCTTTCGCTGTCTTGATGTAGTCGCCGTTGTGTGCGTGCTATAGTCGTAGCTCCCTCGCCTGACACGCTGAGCGTGCGTGCCCCCGCCGCCTTTGAAAGAAAAAAAATGCTGAGCGCGAAAAATCGGCACACCAATCTCCCTTCCTCTCTCTATCCTCTCTTGGAGCTCCAGAATCCACATACCCCCCTGCCCTGGGAGATCGTGTACAACTACAAGCTCTCTATTCCTGCTGGAACACGAGGCGCTCCTGCGCGTAGATCTCCGCCAGTGCCCATTGAAGGCCCCATTCTCTTCGCACGCTGCCCGAGAAGCTCCCCGATCGTGGGAGCTCGAGGCCGCAGCGCGCTCCTCGCTCCGTGCCGTCCGCCACTTCCCGGTCGGCGTCTGCCCCACGGCGGCTCTGCATAGGGCGGAAGTCGTCGCACGAGGCGTTGGCTCGCCGCTTGTGCCGGCCACAGGCGACGACCTGACGACGCGGGGATGCGGAGGCCTTCCACGCTGGCCATCTAGGAAACCAGTGCGCGGGTGGGCCCGCTCGAGAGAATAGCTCTCGAGGATAGCTCGAGGAGAGGTAGACAGGTAGTGTATCTCCCACGGGTGCGCAATCGTACAAAAGTGCGGGGCCGGGCTGAGATGCCTGTGCCGGCGAGAGCTTGTGCAGCACTAGCTGCTTGGCCTGTTGGTGGCGGTCGGCGTGAGGAGAGGTGCAGCTTGAGCACTGTTCAAACTATAACCCTAATAATGTGCCTAATTACTCGAAGGTTCTAAGTAATGTGAGTAGTGGGTTCCTAAGAGCGTGGGCAGAGGGCGCCAGGTTTACCTGGCGGCAGCGCTGCGCCAGCAGCTTCGTCTGCTGCTCGGGGCTCGGCCGTGGCCGGTTGAGGAGGTGCGGGTCGGTGCGGCTCGCCTGCTCACAGCTGGAGGCGTGAAGAGACGCCGTTCAGAGCATCCAAGCCGGCCTGCGGGCCGGTGCGGCTCGCAAACGGAAGGACGCCGAGGGCGCATGGCTGGACGAAGACGGGCAGGGCGCGGTGTAGCCCAGGATTTGGTGCACTAAAGACGGGCCGGTGCTGCCTCCCCACCGACTTCCCCGCGGCCGAGGCGGCGGCCGAGGCGGTGGCCGAGGCGGCATCGGCGCCGCTGCCATTCGTCTGCCGCGAGCGGTAGTGCAGCAGCAGCGCCACCGTCAGGTCCTCCGCGTTTGGGACAGGGTGGAGCGCCTCCGCCCGCCGCACCACCTGCACCGCCGTGCCGCGAGAGAGGAGGTAGCCCGCGCCGTGCATGGTGAGTGGGAAGCGCCAGCCGCGGCGGCACTTTCGGTCGCGCAGCAGCCGGGGGAGCGCGAGCTGCCTGAGGACGGGCAGGTGCTCCTTGCCGGCGCAGCGCTGCGCGAGCGGCGAGCCTGCGTAGAGCGAGTCGCGCCTCCGCCGCGGCAGCCGCTCCAGCCAGCGCAGCACCCCGCCAACGCACACAAAGGAGTCGTCGTCTGTCTTGAGGAGATGCGAAAAGGATGGCGCCGCCGAGCCGAGCGCCCACGCGAAGCCGGCCAGCACCTTGAGCGACAGCGAGGAGTAGCCCTCGCCGATATCTAGCACCACAGTGTCGTTGTGCGCAGTGGCGGCTCCACTTGAGTTGCCACCGCCAAGCACAAAGCGGACGGTGAAGAAGCCGCACGCCCGCCGATCGTGGGCCCACGCGTTCCGCAGCGCCGCGCGCTGCTCCGCTCCGCGCTCGGTGGGCCGAGAGAAGACGAGGATGAGCAGATGGATGGGGCTATCCGGAGAGGGCATCGTCGGCTCGAAGAACATATGACGACCCGGAGTGAACGCCCCGGACCAAGACGTGATACGCTGTTCACAGCCTTGTTATGAGAAGAAAATACGTAATATTCACATAAACGCACAACCCCGGGCCCAAAATCGCGCCGTTCACAGAAACGTCAGCGCCGCCTTCGCGGTGGGCGTGCCCGCCGATCTGTTTGTCTTCCCGAGTGCACGTCGGTGCTTGAGATAGAGTCTAGCCGCCTCGAGAGAGGTTGCCCTGCTTAGTGGGGCGGAACCCTGCGAACAGGTGCACCAGGGTTCTCTTCCCTGGGGCCGTAGGTCTCGGACTAGCACACAGTCCGACCCTGTCCTTAGCTAGCGTGTGTTTCGTTAGCTAAGATCTACGCCTGGAACGAAATCGAAGCCGAAGAAAGGAGGGAGGAAGGCCAAGATGGGGGAGGATCAACGAAGAGACGAGCGCAATAGAGAGAGAAGAGAGAGAGAGCGTGAACCTTAGCGGAGAGAGGGTGTGGTGTCCCGTGCTTCGTGTTCTTGTGGAGGGGCAGTCGTCCAGCTGGCTGCGCACTCGGCGAACGCCCCTCAGGTGCCTGCGCGCCGACCACCCCCCGGTGTTTTGACACCATTATTCAGTATATTAACCTCGCGGCCGCCTAGATAGACTGAAAGAGCTAGACACCGCAGGAGGCGAGGCGACTACTACTGCTGCTGCTGCTGCGGCTACTGCCAACTGCTGTTGCTGCTATATGCTGCTGCTGCTAACTGCTGCTGCTGCTTCCGACGCTAGATACGCGATTCACCCATCTCGCCCGCCCGCCCGCCCCACCCGCGCGCCCCATTTCACCTGCCCATTCGCCCACCACCCGATCGCCCATTCCCATCCCCATCGCCATCTCGCAAACCTACTAGGCGCTCGAGTGCTCCACTCGCTGCCTACTCGCTGCCTCGAGGGAGGAGGGGAAGACGTTGGGCGCGCGCAACTGCGCTCGCCTGTCACCGAGGCCCCTCCCCGAAAGGCAAGTCTTAGACCCACGAAACCGAGACCCCTCCCCCCCCGCCCCGATCCCCCCACCCCCTTGCTCCCCTCCCCCCCCTCGGGAGGGCCGAACTGAGGCGCCCGTGGGGACCCCGCAATTCCCTTCCCCCCTCGGAGGGGGCCGGACGGAGGCGTACCCCGTGGGCCCCGCTCTTTCCCTCGCATAGCGGCCACTCTTCGGATCGCTGGTCGAGCGACCCGGGGGATGCCCCGCGCGCCTGACCCAGGCGCGAGAAACGAATCTGCGAGGCGTGGCCGCACATGCGGCCCGATGGGGAGGAACGGGGCGAGCCCCCTCCAACCCACCCGCGCTAGGTCTCGGGTTTGACGCATGGGGTCACTCCCGCGAAACCCGTGAACTAGCCGGGGCAGTCGGAGAAGGGGCAACTCCGTGCACTGACGGTCGGCCGTCAGAAAACACGCCTCCGTGGCTCGGGTTACACCAATCCTCGCTACCCAACGCGGCCAAAGGATATCCACCTCGAGAACCTCGAGAGAACGTCGGTGCGACATACGAGCTTCACGTGACGTCGACCAAAGTTCAAAACAAAACAACAACTCGTATTGCTAAAAATCTCTCTCTCTCTCTCCAAAGTTCTCCTTCTGACAAAGAAAAAACGAAATTTGCTCCACCAGTGTTGCCGCAAAGAGCGGGCGCGCGACGGTCCGTTGTCAGACGATGTCAGGGATGGGTGGGCAACGCCAAGGCCGCCATGCCGCTTTCCGACGGCAATACAGTTAAGACTACCCACCTGGTGCGTCTGAATAGAGGAGCGCGATGGCAGTGTCGGTTACAGCGCAGAAGGGTTCCTTAATTCTCTCCACTTCAGACAAAGTCCGGTGGTGGAACTGACATCATGGCCCCGAATGCCGTACTTTCTAGGTAATCTGTGGGAGCTCCACAAACCAGGTTGGCGGAGGCCTCATCGCCGCGAATGTTGCCAGTCGCAGCGGGATCTGACGTCGCGTTCGAGGTGTGCATTGGCGGAGGGGTCGCATGGCTGAGAGAGGCAGAGGCAGCAGGCGGGTGGTGGGGCGGCACCTGTTGCTGCCATGGGCAGCGCCGAGCCGCGGCGGAGGTCGCTCCGTAGTTCTGCGTTGAGCCGCACGAGTGCGCCGACCCGTCGCGAGGTGCCTGCGCGGGAGTGATGTCGCGCCGATGGCTGGGTACGCGCGGCGTGAGCGGCTTTGCGCGCCGAGAGGCGGCGCGAGAAGGCGGGCGGGCGGGCGCGCCGGTGGTCGGGCACCGCGCGCTGCGGCTACAGCGAGCCGGCGGCTGGCGCGGCGAAGGCGGGCAGCGTCACGGGTGGCGCCACCGGCTCGAGGTGGGGTCCTGAGGTGGCTTCAGCCTGGTCCGCTCGAGCGGCACGCCCGCCGCGCTCGCGATCCGCCACCTGTGGGCGGTCACCGGGGTGACGTCACGCCTCAGCGAGCTGGATCCGGGAAGGGCATGGGGTCGCGCGGGCCCTGTCTGCAGCAGCAGTGCTAACTAGAACGACAAAATTGCGGATGGGCCGGAGAGTGTCTACATTCTCGACGCCTCGTGCGCAGCCCGAACGGAAAGCTGGCTGGTGGTCGCGCGCGGCGCGTCGGCCGGCTCCGACTGGGCGGGCACCTCGGCTGGGTCCATCAGCACGAGGCCCGCCCCGTCGGGCAGCCCCGCGAGCGCATGATGCTGCAGGGATGGGCGACGTGGCATAGTGGGAAATGATATACCGTCGCTAAGTGCAAAACCACACTGGGTCCGACCCAGCGACCGTCGCCAGTTCGAATCCCAGTCCGACGGTCGACTAAAGAATTCCTCTAAGGAGTCCACCGATCGACCGCATCCCGGCCGGTAACCAAACCGGACACATGTTCCGCGACCCGGGGAGTGTGGTTTTGCAGTTGGCGACGGTATATCATTTCCCACTATGCCACGTCGCCCATCCCTGCAGATGCCCACCGAGAGGCGCTGATGCCCCTCGCGCGGGACCGCGGATTGGTTTCGGCCGACGCGTGACTGTCTTGGTTGGGGGTCCGGGTTGGCCTAGATGCTCTCTCTAGAGTACGACTCCGGTGTACGGTATGTACGTACTCTCCGGTGCATGTCCGCGCATAGCTCTCGATAGCTCCACTCAAGTACGTTAGCGAATTATGTGTGTTTCTCTCTCGCGCCTTCCCGCTTCCCGCGGCACATCCCAAGCCTGAACACGTGTGCCGGCTCGAACCCGCCACGCGCCAGGCCAGTGTTCTCAATCAACTATCAATCAAGCAGCCCCGCGCCACTCGAAAGCGAAAACAAGTGAGAACAGACAAATTACAGACAAATTTGAGTGCAGAGTGCTGAGTGGGCCCTGTGCGACAGTCAGCTGCTTGGTCATCACAATCATGTCATGTTCATGTTCAAATGTAGACGTGTGACTAGACAGGCCACGCGACGCAGCGTAGTGCCAGCGACTGGACACCAGGCGGTATGGCTATGTGGGACGCGCGGGACTGTGTGTGTGTGCGCGCGGAGTGTGTGCTGTGCAGCGGAAGATCTTCCGTTCAGACGGTCTGCGTCGCTGACGCTTCCACAACGTCGTCGCCATTCGACGGCTCCGTCATTGAAGAGGAGCCGCGGAGCGTTAAAGCGAGGGCGGTGACTTGGCGCATGCGCGACTGAGCCGTCTGCTTGGTCGCGCCGAGCGCCTGTGCGAGGAGGGCGAGCGACACCTGCCGGTGCGGGCCCGAGTGGCAACCGACGGCGAGGTCGTGGTACAGCCCATCGGCGATCAGGTCGCGCGGCGTCACCTCGAAAAAGTGGCCAAAGATGCAGCCGCTGCGGACAGCGTCGTTCTCGTGCGCCATGGCGATCGGCAGCCTGGCGCGGCGCGCGGCGCGCACCTGCTCTGCGAGCGCCTCGGCGCCATCGCCGACCCATGTCGACCTGTTCAGGTAGAGCAGCATGTGCGTCGCCTCTTCGTCGCCGCTGTCGCTCGAGCGAGGCAGCGAGGAGAGGCGCGAGGGCGTTGCGTCTGTGATCGAGACGCCGCCAGCCACGGCCGCCGCGACCGCATCGCCGAGATCTCGCGCCCCGGCGTTCAAAGTCGAGGCCCAGAGAACCACCGGCTTGGGGAAGGCGAGGTCGACGGCTCGGACCTCGCCAGGGATGCACAGGGGCAGCTCGTTCTCGCCTGCGTACTTTGGCGTCTTCAGCAGCAGCGCCTCGGCGATGACCTTGAGCGAGACGTGCTGGAAGGCCTCGATCCGATGCCACACCGCCATCGGCCAGCCGGCGTCAAAGATGGCGGCCCGCAGCTCCTCGGGGCACTCGGATCGCAGCTCGGCGAGTGTGCCTCCGCCCTTGTCCGGGTCTGCCTCGTGGACGAGCACGAGCGGCTTGGTCATCTCCAGCGCGGCGCGGACCTCTCGCAGGCAGTTCGTCGAGCGCAGGTAGCCCCGCGACAGGAAGCAGAGCACCACCTGCGAGCGACGAATGTACGCCTCGAGCTCTCCGATGTTTTTGAGGTCGTCGATGTCGAGGAAGATCTCGCAGCCGGGCAGGAACTGCTGCAGCTCGTTCTTGATGACGGCGACAGCGTCCTACAAGGGAGGAAAGCAGGTCAGGTACCTTTTCTCCGCACATGCAAAGCCGTGGGCCAGGGGGGGGCGGTAAACCTGCCCCGTGCTCCAGACGTGGCTGAGGAAGAGGTGCCACTGCTGGCCTTCGGCGAGGGTGATGCCGTCGCGCATCGGCTCGCGCTTCGAAGAGACGAGCCGCATGGTCTTCGCCCTCGAGGCGCTGACCGCCAATACAACGATGACGGCTAGCGAGATGGCGAGCATGACCGCGGTGAGGACGACGACAAAGGTGGTGGCGCCGCGCGAGGTCTTGTAGCCAACGAGGTCGTAGCACATGTCTTCGTACGCGGTGCTGTCGCACAGCTGCGGCGGAGGGGCGAGCGGGTGGTGTGAGGTTGCGCGGAGAGAGGGAGAGAGGGACGGCGAGGAAGACAAGTGCCATCGCGGACCTGGATGACCACTCCCGACGCGAAGCAGCAGGTGAGGAGCAGGTTGGCGATGCACGCGAGGCAGAGGTCGTCGGAGCGCCGGTAGGGGCGGGCGAGTGCTAAAAGGGTGAGAAACATGGCCGAGACGATGGCGGCGAAAACGGTGCGCAGCAGCTTGCGGGAGCCGTACTCCTGGTCGATGAAGAGCACCATCGAGGTGAGGAAGATCTTGCGGACCAGGTCGAGCACCTCCCAGAAGAGGAAGCTGGCAGAGTAGTCCCGCCAAAGGAAGCTCGTCGCGCGAGAGAGCGGCGTTGCGCGCTGCGCAGCCACGGGCTTGCGGACGCGGAGCAGCAGCGCCAAGAAGCCGAGCGGCACGAGGACGGGCCAGAGGGCGAAGAAGGCCCAAAAGTACGGTGCGAGTCCGCTCGCCTCGTCCTCCCACGTAGGGCCGGCGTCGCATGTGAGCGATGGGTCGGCGAGCAGGAAGCTGATGCGCTGGCCTGTCGCGTCGTCGTAGCGAAAGGACTCGCACAGCCTCGCGCTGAAGATGGAGCGCGAGACGGAGGGAAGCACGAGGTAGAAGATGAAGATCGCCCAGTAAAGGACGCGGCCGAGCAGCTGGCGGTCGAATGCCTGCTTGTTGTTGAGGACCGCCGCCGCCGCCACAATGGCGAGCGACACGAAGGCGACAGCGGCGTACGGCCAGGTGCCTGCGACGAGCAGCCGCGTGCTCATGGCTCCGATGCAGCGGCCGGGGATGGCGACGCCGAACAAGTCCAGGCTGAACAGCTTGAGCACGTCGAGCCAGCGCGTAAAGTGCTCGTCGAGGCGGACGCCGTAGACGAGGCCGAGGGTGCTGCTCACCTGGTAGAAGCTGACGACGACCTTGAACTTGGGCTGCAGGCCAACCGCGGACTCGATGCGGGCGGCCCGCCTCCGGAGGCGGCGGGAGAAGGGGAGGCGACGGAGCCCAGCATAGGCGGCGGCGAGCACAGCGATGAGGATGACAAAGCCGACAAAGACGCCGGCGGAGCGAGCCGTCGAGGGGCAGGCGACGCAGCGCCCCTCGACAGAGCTAAAGTAGTCCGAGTCCGCGACGCAGACCTCGCAGAGCGGGCCGGTGTGGCCAGCGGTGCAGTATGGGTCGTCATCTCCGTCGGTGAGGCGGCGGCGGCGGGAGGGCTGGCCGGAGCCACCAGAGCACGTCTCTGAGTCACAGCGGTGGAGCTCCGAGGTGGCGTCGGAGGCGCGCCAGAAGTCAGGCGGCAGGACGAGGGAAGGAAGGGTAGTGTTGTCCGGGCAGACAGCGTCCGGCGGGCACGGCTTGCAGTACTCGGTTGGGGAGGTGAAGATGTCGTCGGGGTCGGCCGAGGTGTTTCGCAGATAGTAGTCGTCCATGCAAAACGAGCAGATCGTGCTGCCGTTGACCGAGCTGAGGGGGTGAGGACATGGGACGCAAAGGCCCTGGCCAGCGTTGGCGGCGTAACGGCCAGCCTCGCACGCGTCGCATGCGTCGCTGCCTTGACCCGACGAGGTGCCGGGAGGGCAAGGCGCGCACTTGGACTGTCCCTTACTTGCGGCGAAAGTGCCAGGGAAGCACGGCGTCGGCTCGATGCTGCCCGGGGAGCAGGCGCTGCCGGCGGGGCAGGCCGTGCACTCACCCGCGGCGGTGAGGTTGGTTCCGCGTGAGTAGCTGCCAGCCTCGCACGGCAGCGGCGCCGACGCGCCCGGCTCGCAGTAGCTGCCTTTCTCACACGCGCGGCAGCCTGCAGCGCCCGTGTCGTGCTGGTAGGTCCCGCCCTCGCACGGCTCGCACTCGGAGAGGCCGCCCGTGGCGGCGTAGCTGCCCTTGGCGCACGGCGTCTGCTGCGTCGAGCCCGTGGTGGCGAAGTGGCCCGGCGAGGCGTCGGTGCACTCGCCCGCGTCGGTGAGGTTGGTGGCGCTCGAGTAGCTGCCAGCCTCGCACGGCAGCGGCGCCGCGGCGCCCGGCTCGCAGTAGCTGCCTTCCTCGCAGGCGCGGCAGCCCGTAGCGCCCGTGTCGTGCTGGTACGACCCGCCCTCGCACGGCACGCACTCAGAGAGGCCGCCCGTGGCGGCGTAGCTGCCCTTGGCGCACGGCGTCTGCTGCGTCGAGCCTGTGGTGGCGAAGTGGCCCGGATTGGCCGGCGTGCAATCGCCCTGCTCGTCGTTGTCGGTCGCGCTCGAGTAGGAACCCGCCTCGCACGGCAGCGGCGCCGCCGCGCCCGTGGCGCAGTAGTGGCCCGGGACACAGACGCGGCAGCTGGTAGCGCCCGTGTCGTTCTGATAGGTCCCTCCGCCGCAGCTGGCGCACTCGGAGAGGCCCGCTTCGGCCGCGACGGTGCCTGGCCGGCACGGCGCGCACGTCTCGCTGCTTTCCGCGCCCCGCGTTGCGCTCGCGGTGCCGACGGGGCAGAGCTTGCACGCTGCGCTCGAGTTGGAGCCGTCGGCCGGGTTGAAGCTGCCGGCGGGGCAGGGCTCCCAGACCATGCGTGTGGCGGCGCCCGCCTCCCCGCAGTAGCCGCCGCGCGGGCAAGGGTCGCAGGCGGCGAGGCCGACGTCGGGAGAGAAGCTTCCCGCTGCGCAAGGAAGGCACTCCTCCTCTCCCTCGAGGGGCTGATGCTGGCCTGGAGCGCACGGGATGCAGCTCTCGTTGCTCGCCGCGCCGAGGGCGGGCATGCGAGTGCCGACCGGGCAGGGCTCGGGTTCGGCGGTCCCCTTCTTGCAAAAGTGGCCCCTGGTACACTGGCCGCTGCAGGAGGCGTCGGTGAGGTTTCTTTTTGCCCCATAGTAGCCAGCGGAGCAAGGGTAGCACTCCGGGGCTCTGAAGTTGCCTTTAAAGGCGCCCTCGGCCGGCATCCAGCTGCCCAAGCGGCAGTCCCAGTCTATCAGCGAGTTGAGAGTCTGGATCGTGATACCGTCGTTGCCGGTGAAGGAGGCGTCGCTGATCGAGGAGGGTTGGCTTCGCAGGTACAGCACCGAGCCTGACGAACTCGCACTGTTGTCGATGAAGTCGACACTCGCGATGGAGAGGGGCTCGCGGTTATCCCTCGCCCAGACTACGCCGCCGTCCTGCGGTTGCGAAGAGAGAGCGGGGCGTGAGGCAGCCGTGGCCCTCTTTATCTCTCGCCCCGCTGCCGTGCGTCGCTGCTGGAGTACGGCTAGCTCTACGCGGCGCACAGTGCCAGCCGAGCAGCCCGACACGGTCGAGCCGCTTATCGAGACTGCACCGCTGTTATCATACGCGTAGACGACGCCGCCGCCCTGCGGTTGCGAGGAGAGAGCGGGGTGAGGCAGCCGTGGCGCTCTCCACTGTCGCCCCGCTGCCGTGCGCCGCTGCAGGGGCGCGGCTAGCTCTACGCGGCGCACATCAGCAGAGCAGTCCGACACATCTGAGTCGATGATCGAGACCGCACCGCTGCTAGACGCTTTGACGACGCCGCCGTACTGCGGTTGCGAGGAGAGAGCGGGGCGTGAGGCAGCCGTGGCCCTCTTTATCTCTCGCCCCGCTGCCGTGCGTCGCTGCTGGAGTACGGCTAGCTCTACGCGGCGCACCTGAGCCGAGCAGCTCGTCAGGTTCGAGCCGCTTATCGAGACCGCACCGCTGTTCTTATACGCCCAGACGACGCCGCCGTCCTGCGTTTGCGAGGAGAGAGCGGGGTGAGGCAGCCGTGGCACTCTCTATCTCTCGCCCCGCTGCCGTGCGGCGCTGCTGGAGGCGGCTAGCTCTACGCGGCGCACAGTGCCAGCCGAGCAGCCCGACACGGTCGAGCCGCTTATCGAGACTGCACCGCTGTTATCATACGCGTAGACGACGCCGCCGCCCTGCGGTTGCGAGGAGAGAGCGGGGTGAGGCAGCCGTGGCCCTCTCTATCTCTCGCCCCGCTGCCGTGCGGCGCTGCAGGGGCGCGGCTAGCTCTACGCGGCGCACCTCGCCAGCCGAGCAGCCCGACACGGTCGAGCCGATTAGCGAGACCGCACCGCTGAAAGACGCGTAGACGACGCCGCCGTACTGCGGTTGCGAGGAGAGAGCGGGGTGAGCAGGCAGCCGTGGCCCTCTCCATCTCCCGCCCCGCTGCCGGGCAGCGCTGCTGGAGGGAGGCTAGCTCTACGCGGCGCACAGTGCCAGCCGAGCAGCCGGTCACGGCCGAACCGGTTATCGAGACCGCACCGCTGTCCCACGCGTAGACGACGCCGCCGCGCTGCGGTTGCGAGGAGGGAGCGGGGTGAGGCAGCTGTGTCCATTTCCATCTCTCGTCCCGCTGCCGTGCGGCGCTGCAGGGGTGCGGCTAGCTCTACGCGGCGCACATAGGTAGCACTGCAGTCCCTGACGGTCGAGTCGACGATCTCGACGTCGCCTGCGCCACTCGCGTACACAACGCCGCCGTCATTTCTTCCGTCCGTCCTCCCGTTGACGAGGGTCAGCCCCCGCAGGGTGAGGCTGCAGCCGCCATAGAGGAGAAAGAGCCTGGTCTGTTCCTGGCCGTCGAGCGTCGCGCCCTCGCCGCTGCTCGCGACGGCCACGTTGATGTCGGAGCCGCAGCTGATCTGGCTGAACAGCTTGAAGTCTGCACTGGGCGGCAGGTAAATTGAGACGTCGGCTTGCGAAGCAGCAGCCTCCGTGATCAGAGAGCGGAGCTTAGCCTCGCTCGCCGCGGCCACGAAGCCGGTGGGGAAGGGCGAAATAGGTGGCGACGGCGGAGAGGACGGCGATGCAACACCCGCTGAGACGCTCAGCTCGTACCACTGCGTGGTGCAGCTGTCGCAGTCGGCGCCGACGTAGAGATAGAGGGGGTTGTCTGGAAGCGAGATGCCTGACTGTGTCAGTGAGCCGCAGCTTACGTCGTCGGTGAATGTCACGCTGCCGTCGTTGATCGTGATGCCGATGTTGATGTCGCCGTACACGTCGCAAGGCGCGGATGTGCTCGAGCTTGGCCAGTAGACGTACTTGGTAGCGCAGTCCCAGACAAACTTGATCGCCGTCGACTCTGAGCCCCAAGTCCAGGAGAAGGAGTCGCTCGACGAGAGGACGATGAAGTGGTCGTCGCAGCTTGTCACGCGCGGGAACGACGCCGTGATCGTCGCGCTGCTGAAGAATTGCGCGTCGGTGGTGCGCATGCTCTGATCGCCGCCAGTCACCTGCAGCACGTTGTCTGAGGAGCACGTGATCGACGGGTTCGCCGTCCAGGAGGAAGCCAGCGGGCAGAACAGCGGCGGCGGCGGCGACGGCGGCGGTGGCAGAAACGCCACCACGGAGGGCGGCGCTTCCGCCACAGCTCCGTCTACCAGCAGGCGGCGCAGCTCCCTCCGCTTCGTCTCCACCGGGCAGGAGCCCCGCGCCGCCGACTCGCTGGCCAAGCACCGGGCCGGCAGCATCGAGGAGGACGCCTCCAAGTCGCCAAACTGCATCAGCGCCAGGTTTCGCCTCGACCCGGCGTACTTCAGCAGGGTGCGAGCTCGGTCTCCTCGTGGAGCCATACTTTGCTCGGCGCGGATGCACTCGCCGTCGATCTCATCCGGCAGGAAGGCCGGGCGATCGATGCGTCTCATGCGCTGGCCGTTCGGACCGACACCGGCGCTCGCGTTGTTCCAGCCCCATGTGTTGCGGCCGCCGAGGTGGCGCGTGTAGACACCCTCCGTCCCTGGGAGGATCGTCGAGCACGCGCACTCCTGAAGTGCGCCATCCAGGAATCCAATATCCTCGCCGATGTCCACCTCTGGATACCCGGCCCCATCGGCCCAGAGCGAGCGGCGGAAGGTCAAGGTCCCCATATTGGGTCCTCCCAACGGGTTCTCATAGTATTCGAGCGAGTTCGTTCCGACCCATGCATAAATCCGAAAGCGCAAGACGCTGGCGTCGTACTTGCCGCCGAGGATCGGGGCCACCTGCGTTGCCACGCGCGTGTCAGAGTACAGATCGTCTGAGTCCCAAGTGACGATCACGCTTCCCTGCGCTAAGCTGCATGCAACGTTGCGCTTGTAGCCCACCGAGCTGCCAGTCTCGACGTGCCGGTAAGTGACGTCCAAGTCCGGAAATCGACCGAGGACGGCAGCTATTGGCCCCACGGCGCCCGGTCCACTCTCGGCCCCGGCGCCTGGTTCGCCGGCGCTGATGTCGTCGCCCAAATCGTTGACGACAACCACCTCCAAGCGCGGATACGTCTGCCTCCTGACCTGCTCGAGTGCCAGCTTCAAGTAGCCCGCGCGGTCTGGCGTGACCAGGACGACAATGGACACGAGTTCCGTATAGCTTGGCTCGAGGAAGCGGGTCGAGGGCCGAGACACGTGCGGCAGCAAGCTCACCCGCGGGTCTTCGCCGTACGCCAACTCGTACACGCGTTCGTTGGATGGCTGAAACAGCTTCGAGAGGCTCTGGCGCTCCACCGGGCTCGTAATCTCAGTCGCGAGGAGCGGGTGCTTGCCTGCATTCTCATGACGTGCCTCACCTTGAAGGGTTTCCAGGGGGGGGCGCTGCGACCGCTTGCCACTGCGGCGCTGCACAAGGCTCAGCAAGCCGGTGATGGTAGGGCCGGCCGCCGCCAGGTACCACGCGGTCGGCACGATGGCGATCTGCCCGAGCTGCGCCAGGATCCCGTCAAGCTGGGGCCCGTACTGCCCGTGCGCCCACAGCGGGTGTGGGTCGTCGGCGTCGTCCTTCACAAAGTCGGAGAAGGTTGCGCTGGACGGTGTGGCGATGCCCGCCACCGGGTATGACTTCATGTGGTAGAATGCGGACTGTGCGCGCTGCAGGGGCTCGCAGAGGAGGACCGCGAAGGTCGTGCGCTCGAGCCGGGCCGAGCCGTACATGCTGGCGAGCCGGCCGAGGGACGAGTTGTCGAGCAGGTAGTCGGGCGTCGCGTCCATCGTGATCACATCCCGGCCGCACGGAGGAAAGATCGAAGCGTAGTACTCGATCCCACGAGCGTACCGCTCTGGCGTGTTGAAGAAGTGAGGCTCCTTGCCATCGGAGTACGCGATGCCGTCATCAAAGCTGTGGGAGAGGCGGACTCCGTGCTGCACGAGCTGTCTGGCCAGCGATGTCGTGCCACACTTTTGCGCGCCAAGCAAGAAGAGCTCCGGGAGCTGGCGGCCCGCGACACAAAGCGGCCCCGGCGCGTCGGTGGCGTCAGCGCCGTCCTCCTCCTTGGCCGCGGCGCCCTCAGGACCCCAGTCGAGATCCATCATCGCGAATGGGGCTCGGCCCTCTTGCGCAGCGCGCACGTCAAAAGTGAGCAGCGGCAGCTGCATGCCAAAGGCTCGCGCAAACGTGTCTCGCACGTGGCGAGCCTGCGCCGGGCTGCCCTCGACGCGGTCGACCGGTCCCGCATTAATCGGAAGGAAGACGGCCTCCACCACGCTTGGAAGCGCGTCGCCTACTGCCACCGCATCGAGAAGCACCTCGTTGTAGCGACAGCCGTTGCGGTCGCGCGCCGTGTTGACGGTATTGACGACGCAAGTCTCACGCCACTGCAGAGAGCTCTCGTGTGCCTTCAACATTGCCGCCAGATCCCGGTAATGGTGCGGGCGGCCGGGCGAGTCGCGAGCCTCGCACTGCTCGAGTAGCGACTTGCCTTTGCCGAAGCGATATGAGCCGCAATCACCCGCACATGCGCAGGGGGTCGCGCCGCTCGTGAGGTGCGCCGGGTTTAGGATGATGCCGACAGCCGAGTTCGAAAAGGTGTAGGGCAAGCGTGCGTTGATGATGGAGCCAGACATCCTGTCGCTCAAGCCAGGTTTACCTTCCCCCGTGAGCCACGGCACGCCTGGGTTTGCGTGGCGAACGATGAGGCCCACGTCGCGAAGGTCATCGGCCGGACGGCCGGACAGGAAACGTGCGTTGATGGCCGCAAGATCTCGGGCAATCTCGGCCGGGGGCAACGTCGCATCGGAGATCGAATTGAGAAGCGCGACGCCGCCGGAGACGTACGAAGAGTAGACGAGGGCCGCGCCGCTTGCCCCGATCGCCACGAGGGCGAAGAAGCAAAGCAGGCCGGGCCAGCAGGACTTGGGCCAGCAGAACCATCCGCCGGCAGAGACGGAGCCCTCCGGCATGACGTTCGCGCCCTGTGCACATGAGACGGGATGTGGGCCACGAGCAGGTGCGAGGTCATATAGGCGGCGAGCACGCGCCGAGGTTGTGGTCGGCAACTTGGAGACGCGGGGCGCCTTGCCGTGGATCATGCCCTCGTTACCGTCCGTTCCGACCAGGGCCGCGAACCCGTTGGGGTTCTTGCCGCCGATCGGGGTGGCGTGTTCGGTGCGCTCATTCAGGTTGCCCTTGCGCTCGATCTTGCAGAGCGGCGAGGGCGTCTTCCACTCGTCGATTCCCTGTGCGCGCGACGTGCGGCAGAAAGTCAATACGTCGGAACTCCGTTTCCCTATCGCACAGATTGGGGCAGACTCCGCGTGTGTGCACAGCAGCGTGCGAGGCGCTCACCGCCGGGGCGGGCGTCTCCGCTGGAAACTGCTTGGCCGCCGAGACGGCCCAGTCGGCGTCGCCCTACGCAATGAAAGCGCGGCGGGTCGACGAAGAGGAGTGGGTCGGATAACGCGCGGCGCAGAGTGCAAGGCGCTCACCGCCGGGGCGGGCGTCTCCGCTGGAAATTCCTTGATCGACGGCGGCGGTGGCTCGCCACCGCCGGTCACCGGCTTGAAAGCCGGCGCGTCTTCGGTGTCCGGCTTGAGAGCCGGCGCTTTTTCGGTGACGCCGGCTGTCGGCGGGTCGGTCGGGCGCGCAAGCTTGGGCCAGAAAACGGCGTTCGGGCTCGGCTCGTGGGCGGAGAACATGGCCGTGGCCTTGCCCGAGTCGACGGCGTCCGCGTCGGGGTCCTTTTCCGCGGCCGGGTCCTTCTTGAGGGTGCTCTCGTCGAGGGAGGCCTCCGCGCCAGACTTGGCCTCGGGGACGCCCTTCACGACGTCATTCTTGTCGCACGCCTTGAGGGGGAATGGGGATCGTGTTGGGAGGAGAGTGGAGATCTGCGACAAGCGCACACGCACCGTCTTTTCTCCGAGGAGCGAAGACGACTTCGACTCGGACAAAACTACCTTAATGCGGCCGTCTCTGGCTGGCACGCTGCCGACCACTATCATCCCGTTCTCTGACATGATGTTGGTCGAGTTGACTCGTACGTACCTAATACGAGGGGCGGATAGCGAGTGTCTGGTAAATGGGGACGAGCACTAGAGCGCCTCCACGAAGAGGTACGGAAGTGTCATACTGATCTCGGAAGTGATCTCGCGTCATCTCGGACAATCTCCCTCGGCTGACTGCACAGCACGTCGTGTTCGGGCAGTCCTCTGCTCTGAGAGCGTCTTTGAGGCGCATGGAGAGGAAGGGGGCTGCCGCACCTACTCGCAGCGTATACGCAGCTTGAGGCCCAACACGCAAGTAGCCGCGGCGGATCCCTCGCCCCACCTTGTTTTGGATCTGCGAGCGCGCGGGCGCGACGGCGGGCGAGCGTGCGTCAGATTCGTAAAATGAGATGCGCATGGTGCGGGCTTGCTTCGGGCGGCGCGGCAGCGCAGTAGGCATGGCGGCGATGCGCGGCTGCGCGCTGGGCCGTCGCTCTGCCGCGATCCGGGTGTGCGCCAGATTCGTGTCGCTCGAGCCTCGGAGCGCGCCGCGCGCGGGGCGTTCGCAGCAAGGGGGGCACAGGCACGAGCGCGCTGCAGCGCTTGGGCTGGGGGGTGAAGCGGCCGGGCACGCTCGCGCAAAGGCCACTACGCGCCGCGTCGCGCGGGGCGCGGGGAGAGGGAGGGACTGGGAAACCTGAGCTCCGTGCTAACGTGCAACAAAAAGGGCGTGCAACCAGGCGCCGTGGCAATCGTCGAGCTTCGAAGGGGAAAACATTCGCGCAGACCCCCGAATCTATCAAGCCCCTCGCATACTGAAGCTCGGTGCAATCGGCGAGCGGGCGCAGGAAGACGCCTGCGTTGGTCGGCGCTCACCCCGGATCCTTATTTATTTGTGTGTGTGTGTATCGCGCGCCTTGCGGGGGGGGGCGCGGAAAAGAGGAACCTCCTAGAGAGAGAGAGAGATCTCTCTCTCTAGGAACCTCCTAGCGCCCTCGCCATGGTGCTGCAAGCAGCTCCGGGCGACGACGACTTACCGCCTCCCGGTCCCCCTCGGCACACCTCCGCTGCTCAATGTTTGACGACTCGAACCCGTGAAGCTTCCCCGCGCGCGGGTTACCCCGCACACGGGTCAGCCTGCCAGCCACAAATCCAAAACAACTCTAACACTCACACGTAATTTGGGGCCTGGAGCCCTGTTCACGCGCGCGCGAGACGTGCAGACAGGGTTTCAACCTGGTTTGTGGAGCTCCCGCACCTGTTCTGACAGAGACCTGGCCGTTCTGACAGCGTTCTGACAACGTTCTGACAGTGTTCTGACAGCGTTCTGACAGCGTTCTGACAGCGCAAAATCCTCCCCTCTCTTCACAGCTCAGGGGCTCTGACGTTCCCAGTTGCCCCGCTCCTTCCCTCTTCCTGTCTTGAAGTCTCCCTCCGAGCCACGGACGGACTCAACACACAGCACGTCCTCCCAAGCGCCAAGGCGACACTCTCACGTTGAGGCGTACCTAGGCCCTGTTCTGACACAAACTTGGTCCCCGTTCCCACACAAACTTCAACTTTCAACTTCGAGTCCAAGTTCGCCTGTTCTGACAATCTGTTCTGACAATTTAAAAAGAAATGCCCGCGCCACACCAAGCGGGAGCGCAAACAGCTGTAACCGTCGAGCAGGAGCACGCCAAGGCCGCCATCATGCCGGGGCCTCGAGGCAGCAAACGCGCTCTTGCGATGGTCTGCGGCGCAGGCTGGAGCCCCGCGACAGAGCCGAAGAAGCTGCGGCCCGGCAGCAGCCACGCCGAAGCGCCGCAGCACAGTGTGCGATGTGCGGGCCCGGCGGTCCAGTTAGACGCGAAGGCTGCTTCCAAGACGGCAGCCTCGGGTCACGAGGGACCGAACGTGCCGCTTGCGACGCCGCCGCGCCGTCCTTTGGCACCACCGCCAAACGGCCCTTGCTCCTCCGCGACACGCGCCGCAGAGACGCGCTTGTCGCCGCCAAAGCAACAGCAGCAGCAGTGGCAGCGAGACTTAACGTCGGCAGTGCGGCCTCGCCGCAGCCCAGCCGGCGCTTGCCTTGCCCTGGCCAGGCGGCCGAGCAGGCGGTGCCCGCAGCCGAGGCAGATCAGCGGGATGGGCTCGAGCGGGCGCCGCCGCCCCCTGGCGCCGCGCCCGCAAAGGAGCCTGCAAAGGCGGCGGCGATCGGCGAGGCGGCGGCGCTCGCGTCTTGCAGATGTTCACACTTGGCCCGCTCTCGCGTGCTGGCAACGTTCTGACAGTACCCTACCCACAAAAGACAGCGTTCTGACAGCGTTCTGATAGCGTTCTGACAGTGTTCTGACAGCCGTTCTGACAGCTTTTTGACGGTAATTTACAGTTAAGACTCACCATCTGGTCTGAATAGAGGAGAGCGATGTCAGTGTTGGTTACAGCAGAAAGATTCCTTAATTCGCTCCACTACAAAAAAAGTCCGGTGGGGAACCGACATCCTGGCCCCGAATGCCGTGCTCTCGAGGAAAGGTGCGGGAGCTCCACAAACCAGGTTTTGCCATCTCTCTCAAATCCACGCAAGCGTGGTCCGCGCGCATGGCATACAGGCGTCCGCCAGACATTTCTCTCTCTCCAGCCAGCCTGAGAGGATGGCCCGTCAACCGTCTACCGGCACCGTTAGACCGGGTACTCGAGTAGACGGTCGACCGTTCGGTAGACGAGACGGCATTCTGCCCTCCAAAAAAAGAAAAACGGCAAAGGAGACCAGCGGGGGGGCTCCTCGCCACACACACGGAGAAGATAGATGGGGAGGCGAAGAATTTTTTTCAGACGGGGTCGGGGAGCTAAGAAGCGCACCCAGAGGCCGGACGATTGTGGGATAGTTCTATAGACCATAACTTGGAGCACTTGGAGTGCAGTTAGCAAGTGCACGCCAAGGGACGGGAGCACCTGGAGCACTTGGAGTACTTGGAGCCAAGGGACGATTGCCCCGATTTTTTTTATTTTTCCGCCCGCTTTTTATTTTTTGAGAGCGCCTTCATTGTAAATAGTAATACAGACGGATGGTCACGTGCTGTTGCCACGCGATACGCACACACCCACACCGCACCGCACTCCGCGCCCGCGCCCCCCCCCTCGCCTAGGTTGGAAGGAGATGGGAAGATGGAACACGCGAGTCTTTTATTTTTTATTACGCAGCACAAAATTGCACGCCGCTGTGCAGTCTTCAAAAACACCATGTTCACCACATCCGTGAGGCTTCTAGCGATCATGCTTGCTCGTCCGTCTTGCGCCGCGACCACGTTGATACCTTCAGAGCAGCAAAAGATTATCGGCGTCGACGTGCGCTTGACCTGCCCCAGCAACCAGCCTGTCGCCTCACAGGACCGTCTCGCCGCGTGTCTTCGCCGCGCAAGCCGCAGCGTCTTATTCCCATCCAGCGATGAATACACCGCGAAGAAGACGCTTTGCAACCGCCGCCGCGACATTGAGCCCTTTCCCCGCGCGATTGTCTCCGCCGGTGCGGTGACTGAGGTTCGCAGAGCCGTAGCTTGTGTCGCGGCGGCCAAGGCGGCCGAGCCACCACGTAGCGACAGCAGGCTGCACGTCTGCGCCCGGTGCGGAGGCCACGGGTTTGAGAACGACGCTGGTTGCACCGGCGGCGTGATGGTCGACGTAGCTGCCTTGCAGGCGTTTAGCATCGACGCAGAGACGGGCATCGCCAAGTTTGGAGCTGGGCACACGTGGGGACAAATCTATTACAAACTCGCTCAGCACGGGCGCGCCTTCCCCGGCGGCACCGAGGCAAGCGTTGGGACAGCGGGCCTCATGCTCGGTTGCGGACGCGGCCTGCTGACGCAGGTCCATGGCCTAGCATGCGACTCGCTAATCGAGGTGGAGTACGTCAACGCGACGGGATCACTGCATCGCGCGAGCGCGCTCGACAACACCGACATGTTCTGGCTCGCCAAGGGGGGGGGCAGCGAGTTTCCTGGCGTTGCGACCCGCTTCACCGTCCGCACGTATGCCATGCCGCGGCTCGTCGTCAAGCGCAGGTGCCCGACTCGCCAGGTGGCTGCCCTGGCCGAAAGGTGGATGCGCAGCCTCGACGACGGGGGAGACCACTGGCCTGCCGACCTGCCCAGCTTCTCGCACGTGGCGGTCAGCCGCGGCCTCCCTGGCGCCATGCTCGAGGCCATGTGCTTCGACTGCGATGCCGCGCAGCTGCGCAGATTCCACACCTCGTTTGACGCCGTGGTCGCGGCGACGAAACCGCCCGACGTGCTCGCGTGCGGCTATCCGGGCGGCAACAGCAGCTGGCTGCAGACGCTGCTCCAGGAGCCGGGGAGCGGTGGTGGCAGCGCCGACCCACGGAAGCTGTTGCTGCGGAAAGGGGCGGTTCCGTGGAAGCCCCTCGCTGGGCTCAACGGCGGCATCATGGTGCGGTCCGGCAGCGACCTGCCGACGCTCGCTCGCCTTGCGCAGGGGCTGATCGACGAGCCACGGTTTCGAGCCACGCGAGACAATCCGTGGAACGACATGTACTTGCTGTACCCGATGGGGGGGCGGGCGGCCCGCACAGAAGAAACGAGTGCGGCGTATGGCTCAGGACGCGATTCGCTGTTCGTGTTCCACTACAAGCACCAGTGGAAGACGGTCGGGCCCGACGCGTCAGCGGAGCACTGCACGGCCGTGCGGCGCCACCAACAGCTCACCTCCGCCCTTGCGGCCGCGTCGGGGTGCAAGAGCTTTTACAACTACATCAACTACGACCTTACATGTGCGGGAAACTCGAGCGACGGCTGGTTTCAGGCTCACTTTAGCGACGTCCCGCGCCTGAGGAGGGTGCGCAGCGCCGCCGATCCGGGCTACGTCTTCCACTCCTACGTGACTCGCGCCCGCAGCCCGTGTGTGTGCGCGGCGCGGACAGCAGAGGAGAAGGCGGTGAAGGCAGCAACGCTGACGCGCCCTCGCAAGGGTGGCGCGACGGGCGCGGCGGGCAGAGCAAAGGCGTATCCTCACCGTGAGAGCATGCCGCGAGGACACAGGGTAGCCTTCAATGCGAGCGAGCGCGGCCGAGCGGGCTGTGGTCACCCCCGAAAGAGTTTGAAGGCCTTAAAGCTCCTGCGGGCACGGACCGACCTGTCGCTGGTACCTGGCTTCGTGCGAGGCCCGCCAATGGCCACTGCGACGCACGGTTCCCAGCCGATGCAACGGCACAGGCAGAGCGGCTTTGCGATGCCGATTTCGTGCAGTGATGCTGCTGTCACGTGGAATTGGGCATCGCTGAGCGGCCTCAAGAACCCCTCATACGGGCGCTGCGCCGTACTCGACTCGGCCACTCATATTGCCGCGGCGCCACTCGAGCACCACTCAGCGCCAGTGTGCGTCGACCATCTTCGCGGGGTACGCGAGCTGAACAGCAACGGCGTGCCCGGCCACTCTGTCGTCGCCTTCACCACGCACACGTATCGCCCGACCATGTGCGAGGGGTGCATCAAGGTGACCTTGCCCCTTCATCCCCAAATTTTGCCGCACACCACCGAACTTCCTCACTTCGGCCCAATCGGCTACACGCTGAGCGGTCTCCCGCTGGTGGGTTCGGCGTGGCCCGTCTGGAATGGCTTCATCCAAAAGCAACAGGCTTGGCGAGGCCACGGCGGCAGCCCCGAAACAGGCTACCTGTGGCATTATCACCACCCTGCGATCAAGAGCGACCCGACGGGCGAATACGCTCGCCCCGATGAGCTGATTGGATGGGCGATGGATGGCTTCCCCATCTATGGCCCACTGCCAGCGGGTGACGACGGCGCGCTCGACGCGTGCAACGGCCGCATCGCCAACGGAGGCTACCGCTACCACGTGCGTCGCCTCGAGGCGATCAACCTGTCGCTGCCGTACTGCCGCAGCCACGGCTCGGGCTGGGCCACCCACTGGTCGCTCATCCTGGGCTGCTTCCACGGCGACGTGTCGCGCACCACCATCAGCCAGCGGTCGTGCCTCGGATGGTAGCTCGGCTGCAGTCAATCTTGAGCGTGGCTCTTGCTCCACCGCAGCGGTAGTCTCCGTCTATCGGCGAGGCTGTTGAGAGTCTGAATCGTGATACCGTCCGCACCTGCGCAGATTCTTTTTGTGCTGTAAAACTCAATTCTTGTTTGAAAGCGCCTTCTCACTTGCTCTGACACTTCCTCGCCTTGTCACTCACACGCAATAAAACAGAAAGCCGTCGTCTGCGCCTTGTCTGTCGAGCAGAAAGAAAGAAAGAAGACAGACAACCCAAGGGAGGGTGGGAGGACCGCACGCCGCCACCGCACAGGGATTTTAACGAGAGGAGTGTGGTGCGCTAGCCGTCGCCTTCCTTGGGCGTCTGCTTCTTCCTATCTCTCTTCGCAGTCCCTCGCCGATTCTCGCTGCAACCTTGATGCCACCTCGCGGTCGTCCCACTATCGTCGTTCTCTCTCCTGTCGCTTCATCCTCTGTCGTGCGTGTGTGTGCGAGGTAAGGTAAGGTAAGGTAGATTTCTCCACACACACAAAGTGGTGGGGCAAGGGGGGGCGACCCTCGCATTTCCACGCCCGGACACGGGCAGGAGCCCCACGGCATTCAAAGTGCAAGCACTGGCCCGGTGCACGTGGGCCGGTGAGGCGGCGCCCCGCGCGGCGCGTCCCTCGCCCCGTCCACGCCGACCCCTGCGCGCACCGCTCATCTTCAGCCCTCTTGGGGTTACTCTTGCGCTCACGCAGGGGAACCCGGCGGGACTCCCTTCCCCCCACCTCCGACGGGTTAGGTCGGTTCTGCGCCCCTTGGCGCCTGTGCATGTCCCGCGTGCCCGCCTGCCAAGGCTGGTGCCAAGGCCAACTCAACTGCCAAGGCTGGTGCCAGGGCCAAACCAACTGCCTGGCTGGTGCCAAAAGGCTCAAAGGCTCTCCTCTCTCTCTCTCCTCCCTCTCCACTCTCTCAACTTTCTCCCTCTCTCTCCCCTGAGACTCTCTCTGCTCGCTCCGCCCTCTCTCTCCCCCAGCAGCTTCCTCGAGGCCGAACAGGTAGATCCTCCCTGATCGCTAAGCTACCACAGGGGACGGCCAGGTAGTAGACGTCGTCCGCCGCCGCCTCCGCCACCCGCGTGCCTCCGCCCCGCTCAGCAAAAAAATCAGCATTATATCAGGATGTGCCAAAGCAGCAGCATCTCCATGAGGTGAGCGTCTTGCGTTTTGCCGCCGCGCGCCGCCGCCGCGCCGACTGGCTCCCGGTTCGAATCGTCCTTCGCGGAGCGAGCGCGGCGACACGAGCGCACGTCGCGCGCGTGCGCGCCCGCGACAAGACGAGACGAGACGAGCAGAGAAGGAGAAGTAGACGTTGATGTTTTTGCTGCCGCGGCCGCGCCGCGATCTCGCGTCTGCTTTGGCGCCGACGACGCGACGCGTCCCGCTGCGTGAGATGGCGCCGCCGCGGAGTCGGCGCCGCGATCAACCGCGCGCCAGCGTCGAGCGGCGCAGCGCGGCCACCATGCGGCGCGACGTGCCCGCCGATTGTTTTTTCACGTTTTTTATTGCCTGCTCAGCGCCGAGGTTCCCCGATGCCCTCTTGCTCCTCGGCAAGGACTGCCGCTGCTACGCGCTGCACGCGCTGGGTAGCGAGGCCGAGCGGAGGCTCGTACCGCTCGCCGACCCGCGGCTGGCGGTGCAGGGAGTAGAAGCACAGCACCCTGCGACGGGAGGGCGTAGCATAGCACGGCACTCTCGCAGTCTCGCGACGATCCGAGCCGAGGCAGCGACTACCCTCCCCCCACAGCGCAACAGCACAGCACACTGCACAGCACCGCATCACAGGGCTCAGAGTGCAGGCGGCCCCTTCCGATCTCGTTCGCCGATATCCAAAACCGGCATGCTGCTAAATAACTTTTGGAATAGAAGGTACGAAACTAATCGGCGGTCATTATTAGCAACGGAGCGCGTGAATGGGCTACCCGTAGTGGGGTAGGCGCAGAAATGAACCTCAGGAGTGTCTTGCAACGCCGCCGTGCACACACCCGCGGTGGCAGCCGCCGCCGGCCCTTTCCTTGCAGCCCCCGACTCCCTTCCGTCATGCCGCCTGCCAGGCGAACTGCGCCCACTCATCGAGGATTGCGTCGCCTGCGAGAGGGTTGGGGTTGGGGTTGGGGGTGTGTGGTGGTGAGGGGTGTGGGGGTGTGGGGGTGTGGGGGGGTGGGGGGGTGGGGGTGTTGGGAGCGGGGTCGCACTGGCAGAGAGCGAGGCAGAAAGTGCGATAGCCTGTCGGCTCGATCTCGGCTACTCTCGCGCCCTTGCGGTCGATCTCGGTAGCCGGGTCGCAGTCCTGTTCGGGCGAGAGGCCGCCTCGTGTGTGCACAGCTCGGAGGGAGGGGAGCTGTGTGCAGGTGCTCTTCCGACCCCTCTCTCCCCCTCTCTCTCCCCTCTCTCCCCCGTTGGCTAGCCTTGGCGAATCTCGGCGAATCTCGGCTGAATCACGGCGAATCTCGGGCGAATCTCGGCGAATCTCGGCTAGCTGCGGACCATGTGCACGTGCTCCTCGCCGCCCTCCCCGACCACCACCAGAGACGGAATCCCGGCGCGCCTATCAGCCGAGTCGCGAGAATTCGCCGAGACTCGCGGAGAATTCGCCGAGATTCGCCGAGATTGACCCCCCGCCAGCACAGAGAAGAGATCGCCGAGACGAGCCGAGATGAGCCGAGATTAGGGATTTGAAGTCGTCCGATCTCGTCCGATCTCGTCCGATCTCGTCCGATCTCGTCCGATCTCGTCCGATCTCGTCCCATCTCGGCTCCTCCTCGCTCCTCGCCACGCCCGGGAAGCCCGCCGCTTCTGCGCCCGCAAAGCAGCCGTACTTGGCCTTGAGCGCGTCGCGTGTGGCCGTGTCCTCGAACGGGACGCTGAGCCAGTCGCCGTGCGACTTGGCCATGTAGCGCGCCTTTGGACGACGGACTCGCCGAGATCGCCGAGATTCGGCGTGATTCGCCGAGGTCAGGGGAAACGGCCGTGCAACGCCGCGCCTTCGGAAAGTCGCGAGAAGGTTTTTTTAAAGTTCCTGCGGCAGGCGCCGTGCGGCTGGGCCGTGCGGAGACGCGCCTTCTGCTCCGCGTCGCGGTCGGACGAGACGTACACGACTTCGAACGGCACCTGGGAGGCGAGCGTCTGAGTCCGGGCGGCCGGGCGGTGCAGTGGAGCGTGGCGAAAAGGGTGTGAGTGCGCACCTCGTTCTCCCGGGCAACCTCGTGCAGCGTGTGCCTGGCCGGTCGCGAGAGCAGAGCGGGCTGGGTGCCACGAGGAGGGTGCAGGCGACCGCGGCTGGCTGCGGCTCGGCGTGGTGTGTCTGCGGGGCTGCGCACAGCGTAGGAACAAAGAGCTTGCACGCCGGGCACCACTCGGACGAGAAGAAGAGGACGACGATCTTCCCTCGCAGCGCCTCTGCAGCGGGCACCTTTGTGCCTTCCTTTGTCTCGAGCGTAATGCCGGCGAGGCTCATATACACCCCGGGGGGACCACACGGCGCGTCCGCTCCTAGAGAGAATTTGCCAGGTGGGCGGTAGGCCGTCATTGCCCGGCGCTGCTTGCAGCGCTCTGGGTGGTAGTGGCGGCGCTCCAAGAGTGGTGCTCTTGGGAAGAGGTTCCTCCTTTCCGCTCCCCCCCCGCAAGGCGCGAGACACACACTTCTCGCGTAGAGGGCTACGTGTGGGACGACTCTCTCTCTCTCCCAACTGTGAACAGTCGTTGTCTGTATATGCGCAGCTATTCATAGCCGCGCCTGTTGTTTGTGTGTGTATCCGCGCTCTTGGCGCGATTACGAGACTGACTTGTCGCACTAGTCGTACTTTTCGTAACAGTATTCCGCATTCATTGATTGCGAGGACGGACCACTCCTAGCGTGCAGACCGCGGGAGCTGGTGCCGCGGCCAGTGTAGACCTGGCCTGCGCTGTGACGCGCGCGCTCATCTTCAACGTGGAGCCAACTGAGGGGTAACTACGTAGCATGTCTATCTAGCAACAACCGTGACAAAGACATGCCGTCCGTCACCCAATGGGATGGGACATCTGGCCTTCTCTTCAAGGAGTGGAGAAGGGCAATTCTCGACACTGGTGCGGAGCGGACCGACGAATCCGGCTCCAGCGTCGCGGATGTCTTCACTGGTGCGGACATGGGAGGAACCGCCGTCGGCGCTCCAGCTCTGCCTGCTGGCACTGCGCAGTACGCACAGAAGATGCAAGCCCTAGTTGAGTGCGGCCCCCGTGTTTTACGGCTTTAGAGGGTCATGGACTCGGGCGGGGAGTATGTTCGTTCGTAGGCCTCGGCGTCTACGCAGTGGGGTCTTCCGTAGAGATCCGTGTCCGGCAAGCGTCTTAATTTGAGCGCGCTAATGAGAGAGCACCGGGCAGCTCCAGCTGCGCGGGATTTTGGTGTGGGTATGTCTCGGAAAGTATGTCATCTAGTATGTGCGGCGAGCGCGGTGAGGTGAAACACATGTCCGGGACCGACTCAAAGATCTCACAGTGCTGTGGACTGCACTTTTATTTCGTGGGGAGCGCACCTCCTGTCGGGTCTCATCGGGAGGACGACCCCGGCTAGTCGCCGACCACACCCACAAAGAACCCTGCACAAAGATCGCACGGGCGGGGACCTGTTCCTTTTCACCCATCTCACAGTAGAGGTGTCCGTTTTTATTTATTTATTTATTTACACGGGTCTCACGGCGACCTCGACCGACTATGGAGGACCCGTCGCCAGACGGCGCAGGGCAGAAGACGGTGAGGCGGAGCAGACGCGCAGGGCGAGACGAGGGAGCGAGCAGGATGTTGCGGAGATCAGCAGGAGGATGTACGACGAGAGTAGGAGCAGCAGGGACCCGAGGGACCATGTGGAAGACGGCTAGTGCTAGTCCCCCATCGGGAGGACGACCCCGGCTAGTCGCCGACCACACCCACAAAGAACCCTGCACAAAGACCGCAGGGCGGGGACCTGTTCCTTTTTACCCATCTCCTAGTAGAGGTACAGCGTTTTATTTTTTATTTATTCACGGCTTAGCAGATACCGAGATAGCACCTCCGCGCCTCTTACGTCTTACGTAGTTAGTACCGCAAAGTTTGAGATTAGCAGATTACAGATTACAACATCCCCTTATAATATAAGGCTACAGTATACGCGCTGCACATTGCAGCTGCGCCCGACATGGGACATGCACGATCATGCACATGCGACATGGCTCGTGCTCCATCTAGGGACGCAAAACCGCGGGGCGTGGTCGACCATTCGGTGACGTGCAGGGAACCTCTGGGGCTTCTCTTCGTTCGGCCTCAATTGCTCGTGAACGAAGCCGCGTAAAGCGGGTCGTGGGGGTCGCGACGCGTGCGCGCGGAAGACCGCGCGCGCTGGAGCCCCGTTCCCGATCGATTCCGCTACTTCACGCAATCGCGATCTCGGGCGCTCCCGCCGCGGGCGAGGCCGCGGGTTTCGCCGCGGCCAGCGAGACGACGCCCAGGACGAGAGCGATGAGCTGGAAGCCGAAGCTGGAGACGCACGCGCCAAAGCCCGGGCCGTAGTGGGCCAAGTCGTCAGGGTAAAGGAAGTTCCCGG